GTTGTTGGGGGCGGGGTGGGGGCCCCTCTCGAGGGAAGAGGGGGGGAGTGGGGTGTGGTTTGGGGAGCTGGGGGGTAGCCCGGATAGGGCCCGTGCGGGGTAACGGCAATAGGGGTTGGTGATGCGGGGGTTGGGGATTTGTGGTGCAGGGCCTTGCAAGCCCTGCAGGGCATTGCGAGTCTGCGGCCGTCTGCGGGCACTGCAGGTGTTCGTGGCACAATTGGTGCGGGCTGTGAGTGGAGTCATGGACCACTGATAAATGGCTCACACCTTGGCGGGGGCTGGGGCTCTGGGGGTAGGGGCTGTACGGCAGCTAGGTCTCAGTGGCTCCCACTGAAGACCGTCGGGGTTGGCTGTGCGCGGGTAGGGGKTACAACTGTACGGGAAGTTGGAGGCCTTGGGGGTGTTGGGGCCCTTGGGGTAGGTGCTCCCGGAACTCTTGGTGGGAGGGTTGGGGCTGTACGGCAGCTAGGTCTCAGTGGCTCCCACTGAAGACCGTCGGGGTTGGCTGTGCGCGGGCAGGGGGTACAACTGTACGGGAAGTTGGAGGCCTTGGGGGTGTTGGGGCCCTTGGGGGTAGGCACTCCCGGAACTCCTGGTGGGATGATGATCGTTAACATGCGTTTGAAGCTTTCAAGCTTCACGCAGTTGAATGACATGCCACTCTCAACAATGAATCCCATGATCTGCAGGTGCCATGCGTGCTCTACAGGGTCAGAATAATATGAGGTCACCGCCTGTTGCCTTAAACTGCCCCTCCCTCATGCAACAACGCCACAAACTAACTAATCCAACACGCCACCCGCAGTAGTGGGTGATGCAATTTGGCCAAGAGGAATATTGCGTAACTTTTGCTAAGGATCCAACGTGCCAAAAACACCATACTGCGAGGTTGGGGCGTTTGCAGGCGCAGAAGTGGGTTACGCATCAAAAACTGCAACGGGGAGCACTGCAGCGGCCTCTTCAACATGGGTCGATGGCAAGTCATTCGTGGGACCTCCTGACTGCGAAGGAGGGGGTGGTAACCAGTCATAACGAATAGAATGATGCCCCTCTGCGGCCGGTGCCGCCACGAGAGGACATGCGGCTGTACGTGAAACTCTTTCAGTCTTGTGCCTATTACCAGTGAACAACAGGGCATGGCCGGCTAATGTGCCTGCATCCTTCCCCCACCTACGACCCTCAACGAAAGCATGTGTCCCAGCCTCGTTAAACTGCACAGGTGGCACCCGGCCCAAAACTGGCACGGGTCCTTGTGCTGCCAACGATGGTGTGAGACGCTCAACATGTGCACCCCCACAAGAAACCGCGCCAGCAACAGGTGCACGAAATGTTGGATGAATCGGTGCAGATGAGACTCCCCCAGAACCTGGGGGAAGCACTGCACGAGGAGGATGTGGAGACGCTACTGCCTCCGAGGGGGCGGTGGACGACAAGGGGGGTGGAACGGTGTCCTCGGGAAAACGAATCGGTGGCCATTGAAATGAATGATGACCTGGAGGCAGAGTCGCAAGGCCTGCACCACAGAAACCAACTGCACATGTCACTTAGACATATCCTTTGACTGAATTGTGTGCCATACCAGTGGAGTCACCACTCCGCATCTGTAGCCCTCGCTACGGTAAAAGTGCTCCTTCGCACCGCAAGCACCCCTACAAATAGAACGACCACATAATCGGCACATACAACGACAACCGTTCTTTCTTGCCAACGCAGTGGATCCACCCAAATAATGATCTCGAGCGATAAAATGTCAAACAGGGTCATCTTGTTTCCCATCTGCTTTCGGATCAACCTTGAAAGGAGAATCAAATGTCTTCGTGTTGTGGCCTTTCTTACTAGCGTCCGACTTCGTCCCTGGTGTCGAGGAAGAGTCCGCGGGCCCCTTCCCAGTGTTGTCGTGTGGGTTGGACATGATGCGTACCCCAAAGAGAATTTAACGAAGAGTACACGACACAAAGTGCGGCGCCAGACAACTACACTCAAGAACCAAAGAATCACCCTGAAAAAGATGGATCATAAGTTTCATAACCACATCGACAAACAAGAGAAGGAACAAACAAAAACAAAATAACAAAAATGAAATGAGGACAACATAGAAACAAATATGCGGTGACTCTTCGTAACAACGCTTATAACCCTTGGGTTAGAAGTTAAACTTAGAACAACACCAACCCTTAACCACTTTCCCCGAAGTTCCCAAACCCTTCAATGCCTTGGGGAATATATATTTTTTCACATACTCAAGTGCAGTGGGACACTCCCGACAGTGGCCCTTATACCTTGTTTGTTTTCCAAGTATCGTTCGCCCGGTTACCGCTTTTGCACCCCCTACACCGCTAGAACTTCCCACAAGCCTACAACCACACGGCCCACACCCACCATTCACCCCTTCCCCGAAGCACGTCGTGCACATAGGATGATAGGAGTCATAGGACGTTCATTTTATGTTATTTTTTAAATCCCTGTACGACAGTTACCGCTTCAGCACCCGCTATAACCACAAACACCTTTCAACCCCTCTACAACCACAAGCACCCGCTACGACATTCACATAACTTTTTTTTTTTCCAAGTGCCTGTTGCCAGGTTGCTGCATTTGCCCCCCCCCCCCCCCAACCACTTTCCCCAGAAGTGCCATATTTTTTTCTTCCAAGTGAAGTTTCCACGGACCAACCGCATTTCGAACCTCCTACGAGTTCACCCCTTTCCCCCTAGCCCGATCATGGACTGACTCCTGAGCAGATTCTGAGCAACTTTGCTAGAGCTCTTGCTTGCCCCATCAAGAGTAATCTCTACGAGGATGGTATGACCTATGACCAATTTAGCAAGATGGCGGTGGATCAGGCTGGTTTTCTCCAAGAAGCAAGGACTTCGAAGAGTTGGAAAGGTAAGACCATTTCATGAAGTATTACGGGCAAGGACAACCTGGTAGTGATGTTTGAAGGAGGTTGTGAAGCCCTAACTTATGTTCAAATTAAGTATGGATTGGATGAGAACGGTGGTGGAGTCCAAGGAGGTGATTTCTCTATTGTGGTCCATGGGGGAGGACGAGGAGGAAGAGGCGACCAAGGTAGAGGAGGTCGTGGTTGGGATGGTAGAGGACATGCCTATGAGGGGAAGTGCAGCAATGAAGGCAGCGCAAAGAGAGGTAGGGGTTATGGACCCCCACATGGTAGCACCGACCGAGCCCTCCAACAGCAAGATAGGGGTACAGGCAAGTACACCCTTGCCAACAATGGCAATTCAGGCGGAAGGGGAAAAACACCATGCAGATACCCATGGCACCCTGATCGTGCAGAGGGAGAACCATGGAAGAAATTGAACATGCCCTGTGACTTGTGGGCCAAGAGGTTCGGAACGGGGACCTGCATCAAATGTGGAAAGGAAGGCCTTGAGTTCAGATCAGTGCAAAAAAGGCAACAGCTGGTAGCAGTGGCATCTGCTCCTACTGGGGCCTTGGGTAAATCACAAGAGGCACGTGCTACAAGAGAAACCTCCAACCAAAGGACCTTGGGTAAATCACAAGAGGCACGTGCTACAAGAGAAGCCTCCAACCAAAGGAACCCAACGACAAAGGCTGATGTAGGCCTCCACCTAGATAGTTGTCTGGAGACTGCTTGTGCTAGTGTCTCTCTTGGTGGCTCCCTCACAGGCATTGGTGATGAGCTGATCACACGTCGTCTGGCCTGGGCTGAAATGAAGAAGAGAAGAGGGCGACTGATTTTGGCTGATGTAGAGATTAGTTGGATGCGAGTGGGCCTTGGGTACATCACAAGAGGCACGTGCTGCAAGAGAAACCTCCAACCAAAGGACCCCAACGACAAAGGTTGATGTAGGACCCCACCCAGATAGTTGTCTGGAGACTGCGTGTCCTAGTATCTCTCTAGGTGGCTCCCTCTCAGACATTGGTGATGAGCTGATCCCACGTCGCCCCGCCTGGGCCGAAATGAAGAAGAGAAGAGGGCAACTGATTTTGGTTGATGTGAGATTAGTTGGATGTGAGTGGGCCTTGGGTACATCACAAGAGGCACGTGTTGTAAGAAAAACCTCCAACCAAAGGACCCCAATGACAAAGGCTGATGTAGGCCCCCACCCAGATAGTTGTCTGGAGACTGCTTGTGCTAGGGTTTCTCTAGGTGGCTCCCTCGCAGGCATAAGAATGAAGGTGCAGAAGTTGAGTGAGCCGGTATTCAGTACACTGGCCGACAATCGCAAGATTCGTGTGTAGTATGTCTAGGGGACCAAGGCATACTTCCGGTTAGAGGAGGGAGAAAAGGTAGAGAAGGTTCTGCATTTCCTTACCCTCTTAGTGGAGGACAACCTTCCCTTTGATCTGCTTTTAGGAACAGACTGGGGAGAAAAAGCCATGGCAGATGTCAAGTTGGGCGAGTACGAGTGCTGCCTTCCCAGCCCCACTGTGGGCAAGAAGAAGATGATGTTGTACCATGAGTCTGTCTAGAGTCCCATTTGTCTGTTTGTTGTATGAGTGCCCTTGCGTTCGCCCGACACGTGATAAAACAGAAGTTGGAAGATCAGGTATTTGTGGCCTATGTTAAACCGGTGAGTGAAGAGACTAAGGGTGAAGAGAAGACACCACCCCAAGTGGAGAACCTGCTGCAAAAGTTTGCTGATATTGGAGAAGCCCCAATCGGAGTGGTAGAGTGGGAGATCAAGCACCGGATTGAGATAGAGTCCGGTAGCAAGATTCTCAGCAAAGCCCGCAATCAGGTGGCCGTGGCTGCAAACTGCCCAACCCAGCTGCACTCGAGGGGCTTGGCCCAGGTGCAGTTCTCACAGAGGCAAACCTGGCTGGGCCTGTCAGATGGTAGGATAGCCAGTTATGCGCCACAGCTGGGTGGAAAACTTGTCGGGTGACCTGGACCAGGCCCCTTAATATATATATATATGTTTGTGACGATATATATATATATATATAAACTCCGATGAAACAGTTTGTCACAGCCCCTCGTTTGTTGTCCTCTTCTCCCTCTCTGCCTACGGTTTACCGGGCCGTTCTATTTGACGATATATATATATCTATATATATATATGCCCATAAGTTGAGATATATGCCAAAATGCCCCTGAAAGATGTGGGTAGACCGGAATGCCCTTTTAGGCGGAAATATTTGTGTTGTGCCCTTGCCAGATGGGTGTGCAACTTTGCAATCTGGACCTCCCCGTTTGGGCCTTGGTCTTTTGCAATAGCACCTAGGAAAAGTTGGCAAGTAGTGGGGCATTTTGCAAAGTTGGCCGGTACCCGGTAGGGATATATTGCAAAGATAGGAGTCCAACCGATGCCTGGGGTATTTCACAAAATATTGTTTTTGTCAGAGGGGCATGCGGCTCTACCCACATCTTTTAGGGGCATTTTGGCATATATCTCAATTTTGGGGAATATTTTGCAAAGTATCCCTATACATATATATTTGTCATATATGGATTTTTTTGTATCTAAGATTTTGTGGCAGCATGTTGGCGCCCACGCTCGAAAAAAGTGTAGGGCCCATCTCTTGATTGATTTGTGTCATCCTTGTGTGGCCGCCCACAAGCAAAAAACGTGCAGGCAACCCAACTCATGTAGCTGAATGGTACACATGTAGTTGTTAGTAAACAACGTATAGTTCAAATCCTTTTTTTTTTTTTTTTTTTTTTTTTTTTTTTTTAAGATTAAACAGGCCTTATGGTCCTGGCTCCTTCTATTCTGGGGAGCGTCAGTCCGGTTCCTATTCCACCGGCAAGTCCAATTAAACATTACATCATTGAACACTCACACACGCTCCCTTCCGTCTGGCCGAAGGACCCCTGAACAGCATTGATTGCTCCGCCACGGTGGAGGATTGACTGTCAGCTTGCCATATCCCTCCCTTTCCTCTCTTATCTAGAATCCAGATCTGCCAGATATTGTTGTTGACCCTAGAAAGAGCCTCACCTGTTGTCTTTACCAATCTGATCTCGCCCCTCTCATCTCCCAGCTCCTTGGAATGATCGACCAGGTAGCCTTAAACCCTAAACCCTCAGCCTGTGCTCCTGTCATCCGCACGTCGAGCTCGGGAGTAGCCGGGATTTCGTTCTCTTCTGGACCTTCTATGAAACCCTAAACCCTTCCATCTCTAACCTCTCAACCCTAAACCCTCGGCCTAAGTCCCTCTGTTCTTGTCCTCCTCTCCCATTTTGTGGTGATTCTATCCCTCCTGGTCTTTCTTGCTTGCCTCTCTCTTCCTCCAATGCCCTTTGGGAGCTAGTGAGTTCAAATCCTGATGGAATCAGATAAACGTAATTATGTTAGGGGCTACCCTGTTCAAAAGGAAAGAAGAGAAAGTGCAGGCTAACGGAGTTGAGCAAGCTGCCTTGATGACACCGCATCAGACTCCAGTTAGTGGTTATATACATTCATTAAATTGAACATTTTCAAAAGATGCAAGAGTTTTGAAGTAGGACGGCGGTGCAGCCTTCATAACGCAGAGCGAGCTTGGTTTTCACTTTCCAAATTTCCGAGCTTCCACGCCAACTTGTTGGGAGTGGGAGCAGGGAGCGAGTCCTAACGACGTTGGAGGGGTCACGGGTGGCAGGCAATGTGGACGTACGAGAGGTGGAGAACAGGGTTGGGTAAAGTTCGGTGAACGCCGAACTCCCGCTTGCGATAGGGTATGTGAACTTGACAAGGTGGGGAAGCTCCAAAGGTTGCAGCGGAGTGACCTCTAGGGTGGGTAGGTACGAGGCATGGGTCAGCACAATGAGGCACAAGTGGGCACGGGTCGCTCAAAAGTGAGGCATGGGTGGGTCCGGGTGGGCCACAACTGGATGTTATGTGGGTCCTGATCCTACAGTTGACCATTTTTTTACATCCCAAGGGCGCTCGTGGAAAATTTTCAAAAAAAGCAGTTCTGGGTTGGATGCAGTTGGAAAATTGTTTGAAGATCGGGTCCAGTTTGGATCTGGTTAGAAAATTTTTGAAATCCAAATTTGGCCCGGGTCTGATTTATAAAAAATGAAGTTTTGCGAGCTCTGATTCCCAGGGGCCTAGTTTATAGAATATTCCCAAAGGAAGTGGACGAACTGCGCAGGCAGCTAGCTGAGCAGAGTGAGAAGGGGTGGATAAAGCCCAGTTCGTCACCGTATGGTGCACCGGTTTCGTTCATGCCGAAGAAAGAGGGTGAACCGTGGTCATGTATTGATTATCGGGGATTGAATGTTATCACAATCAAGAATGTTGAACCGGTGCCCCGGATTGATGATCTGTTAGACAGGGTGCAGGGATCTAAGTATTTCTTCAAGATTGATCTGAAGTCCGGGTACCACCAGATTGAGGTACAGTCGGAGGACCAGCACAAGACGGCCCTTAGGACTTGCTCTGGACACTACGAGTTTGTAGTGATGTCGTTTGGCTTGACGAATGCCCCTGCAACATTCCAATGATGCATGAATGATTTGTTTAGAGATTGGTTGGATAAATTTGTTGTTGTTTATTTATATGATATTCTGTTTATTAGCAAGAGTCTAGAGGAGCATTAAAATCATTTGCGTCAGATCTTGACAAAATTGTGTGAGTCTAACTTCAAGATCAAACTGAAGAAGTGTGAGTGGGCCAATCTTACATACTGAATTCCACACGGGCCCTTTTAGGCCCGACGACTAGGTCTAGGGGGTTATCCCAGACCGTGGCCATGTTGGGCCAGTCTGGCCTGGGCTAAAGGCCGGACCTTTGGAAAGGCCGACGGTTGGCCCCAGCAACCCGGCTTTAGACCCGGGCCTGCAACTGCAGGCACTGAGCAGGAAACCGGCCCAAACGTTATTCGTTTTGAGCCTGGCAGCCGAGGATTGAGGCTGCCACTTCCCGCAGGTCTGATCTGAACCACCGATCGACTGGGACGGTCCAGATCACGGCGCGGCTTCACCAGCAGCCAGGCCGAACAGGCCACCGCCGGTACTTAGGACCGGCCGGCGGTCCGTTTGGGACAGACTCGGAGGCGCGGCATTGAGTCAGAAAATTCCTATTGATTTAGTGTGTCAATCCACATTGGGGCCGGGAGCTGCATGTTTGCTTGTTCCCTACCCCCTCTGTTCCCACTCTTTGTTTCCCTCTCCCGCTGATGGCCTAAAGGACACCGGCAGTCACTGGAGTTCCCTGCAGCAACTCATGTCAGCAGGTCAGCAACCGGTGGTACTTCCTCGATGCAGTCCTCGAGTAGCAGCTCTCCTTAGCAGACAGCAGCAACAGGCGGCAACGCGCATCCCAACACCGACGGTACCAAGGAGGCGGCGAACGATGGTCCTGCCAGCGTTTCCGGTCCAAGGTGCCAATGAGGCGTTCGATGTGTTCTTGCAGCGCGTCCGGACCTTCATGGACCTGGCCGCTGTCGAACAGGAGCGGATTACCGTTGCAGCTGAACAGCAGAGACTGGCCGAAGAGGCAGCAGCTGAGCAACAGAGACTGCCCAACGAGGCTGCCGCCAAGGCACAACAGTTGGCCAACGAGGCCGCCGTCCAAGCGCAGCTACAGCGAGAAGCCGACGAAGCAGCGCAACAGCAACAGCGTGCCGCAAGCACACAGGTCCTGCAGAATGAGGAGCAGCGTTTCAGCGAACTCCTCACAAACTGGACTTTTGTGCCATCAGCCGCACAACCGGCGCCAACAGCGGCGGAGCAGGAGAAAACAGAATTGGCTTACCTACTCAGACACTTGTTACACATTGTGAACTGGCAGCAGGAGCAGTTGAGGCGACACGCTCAGACCAGCAGCAGCAGCTTCTAAAAGCTGCCGCGAATGACTGTCGGACATTCGCTACGGCAATCAATTCTGCCAAGACGGAGCAACAACAAGTCAATGATGCACTTACTATACGCCTGGGTACGGTTGAAGCACAGGCCCACTGGCCAGCAATGGGGCCCACGTGTCACAGCGATTGAAGGTAAAGCCGCCACCACCACTCAGCGCATTGATCATATCATAAGCCTGATTGGTGAGGTGGGCCAGTTCGAGGCCCCAACGACACTCAGCAGCCAAGTGACAGCACTCAAAGTTGAGCTGGATCAGTTGAAGTCGAGACCAGACAGCGGCAAGACGTACAAGATGCAAAAGTTCAACGTACCCAAATTCGACGACTATCACAAGGCCGACGCATTGGCTTGGTGGACTGCATTCCATACGGAGGCGGACGTGCATCATGTTCCCCCCCGAGCAGCGCCTCAAGGCGCTGTACGTCAAGCTGATTGGCGGCAGCCAAGCCTTCATGAACAATTTGGCATTGCAAAAGGCCTGTACAATCACAACGCTGCACACCAAGATTACATGGGAAGAGTTTGAGCAGCAGTGGCAGACACGGTTCCTGGTCCGCAACGTAAGGAAGGCGGTCATGAACGAGCTCTATCATTGCAACCAAGGCACTATGCCTACCCGAGAATGGTTGACGAAGTGGCAGAAGTTTGTCACCACTCCGAAATTCAACCTCGATCTCGAAGATTTGAGATCCGAGTTCTTCTCTCGGTCATGCGATTGGTTGACCACAGCTCTCGGCAACGAGCTGCAGTACGAGACCTTCGACGCAGTCATATCAAGAGCGAACATTCTCATACAAACGCACCGGCGAGCGGCTAATGAAAGTCGTCAGCAGTAGCCGGCCTATGTGGCAAAGCCAGGATTTCAGCGGCACAATGTAAATGCGATCCTCACCGGATCACAGGAAGACCACGCTGCTGCAGCAACCTCTGATGAAGGAGATGTTGTAGCAGCGATCCCTCCTCGACGCACACGAGCTCGGAAGAAGAAGGCTAACACCCAGGCGTCGGAAGGAGCGGGACAACAACCGTGGATGCAGTATCACATTGGCGAGGAGGTTTATAACCTCCGCCTGAAGTACAACTACTGTCTTTGGTGCAACAACATCAAACACTCGACCGCCCAATGCAGCGACAAGGGTAAACCAAGTGGGCCTCGTCCAAATAGCTCAGGAAACTGAGCGCCGCGAGGAGCGCAACGACGACTCTCCCCACTCCGCCGGAAACGGTTGCCTTGCTAGCAACTGACTTCATCTCCGGGGAACACGCGGTAGTCGATAGTTCTCGTATTACCTACGAGGATTATGCAGTCCAGCTGGTCCCACCGTTGAACCAGCCTACTCACGTGCATGAAGATAGCGTATGTGCAGCTTGCGCACCGTCAACAAATGAACCGGTCCTTTCGCCTACACATTCCGAGGACTCGTCTGCGCGGTCAAGACTTGAGGATCTCGATCCGCTAACGAGAGAGGACATCCAATGGTTGCCGCTTCCCTCGATCGGATCCTTGTCCAAGCCGCATTGCAATGCCTTGATGCCGATCTACGCGCTTACTTGCACGCTGCCGTACCAGCTCCGTTGACGGACGATGGAGTAGTGGTTGCCGATATTCGCGACTATCTTGCGAAGATCGACCGTGAGCATGCCTCTCAAAGGTACGTCAAAACCGACGCACCTCTCCTCTATATTCGCATTCAAATCGGAAAGGTAACCTGCAGTGCCTTGATTGATTGCGGAGCGTCTCGCAACTATATGAGCCAAGCCTTTATGGCCCGCGCTGGCCTCGGCCCCCGCGTTCGAAGGAAAACGCAGCCAACGCATGTAACACTCGCGGACAGACACACGCAAAAGTCAATTGCCCGACGCGTTGACGGTGTTTCGGTTTACTTTGCGCCACTTGCGTGCGAGCCGGTGTCTTTTGACATCCTCGACACCAAGTTCGACATGATTCTAGGCATGTCTCGGTTGCGTAGCGCCGACCACCCGGTGAACTTCCACAACCACGCCGTTCACATCCGTGATCAGAACGGTAAGCTAGTCCCGTGTACGGTCCCACTCCCTCACACTTCGATTGGTTGCCACGTGGTCTCTGCAGCGAGGATTCGCAATGCTGTTACTCGGAACGACGTCATGAGATGGGAATATGATTCTTGCATGCGATCCCTCCGACGGACGGACCGAGGACATCGCCGCTGGACCCACGTATTCTTCAGCTCTTAGACAGATATGGAGACATCTTTGCAGCTCCTACCGGAACGGTCCCGGATCGAGATTACTCTCGAGGACGGGGCCGTCCCTCCGCGTGGATGTATTTACCGAATGAGCGAAAAGGAACTCGAGGTGCTTCGCACACAACTTGATGACCTCTTGGACAAGGGCTGGATTCGCCCGAGTTGTTCGCCCTACGGTGCCCCGGTTCTCTTCGTCTGGAAGAAGAACAAGGACCTCCGGTTGTGCATAGATTATCGAAAACTCAACGCACAAATCGTGAAGAACGTCGACCCTCTCCCTCGGATTGATGATCTCCTTGAGAGATTGGGCGGCGCCACATATTTCTCAAAGTTGGACTTGAAGTCTGGTTACCACCAGATTGAAATCCAGCCCCAAGATCGGTACAAGACCGCCTTCAAAACGCGGTATGGGCATTTTGAGTGGGTCGTAATGCCATTCGGCCTCACCAATTCCCCAACGACTTTCCAAGCAGCTATGACGACCGAGTTTCGAGGCCTACTCGACCGCACCGCCCTCATTTACCTCCATGAAATCTTGGTCTATAGTCGGACGTTCGATGAGCATCTCGAACACCTTCACACTGTTTTGGAAAGGCTTCGCACGACCAAGTACAAAGCAAATCGCGACAAGTGCGAATTCGCACAGCAAGAGCTTGAGTACTTGGGCCATTATGTTACGCCACACGACATTCATCCCTTAGCAGACAAGATCCAAACCATCGTGGACTGGCCGGAACCCCGTACAACTACAGACGTACGCTCATTCATGGGTCTGGCTGGATATTACCAACGTTTTGTCGGCTCTTACTCCAAAGTTGCTGCACCATTGTCGAGGCTTCAGTCTCCGAAGGTGCCCTTCGAGTTCGACGACGCGTTGAAGTATGCGATGCTACGCGCTCCAGCCCTCCGCATTTATGATACCACCCTACGTACCCGAGTGACTACGGACGCTTCCGGATACGGCATTGGGGCGATATTGGAACAGCAAACGACGATGATTGGCACCCGGTCGAGTACTTCTCCCAAAAAGTACCTCTAGTTCATTCTCTATATGACGCTAGGAAGAAAGAGTTGCTGGCTTTCGTCACCGTTCTCAAACGATGGCAACACGTTCTTCTCGGGCGTCGGCGTTTCACATGGAATACGGACAACAATCCGTCGACCTACTATAAAACGCAGGACACGGTCACAAGCACGATCGGCCGATGGATGTATTTCATCGACCAATTCGACTTCGGCCCCGCCCATATTCCAGGCCCCGCCAATCGAGCAGCGGATGCACTATCATGGCGACACGATTTGTGTGCCAGCCAGGCCGAACAGGCCACCGCCGGCACTTAGGACCGGCCGGCGGTCTGTTCGGGACAGACTCGGAGGCACGGCATTGAGGAAGCAGCGCTGCGCTATTTTGGTTAGCGCAGCTCCAGGCAGTAGCGTTGGGTTTAGCGCTAGCTGCATAGACGAGAGTGAGAGAGAGACGACTTACCTACTACCTACCTGTGAGCACCATAGCTCCAGCGGCGAGGGCAAGTCTTCAGCAGCTCCAAGGCGGCACCTTGCACCGGCAGGTTGGTGCCTGGACACAGGATCAGGGCAGGAGGATATTCCTCCGCCCCACCTCTCCATCTCCACCTTCTCCTCTGCTCCTCTTGGTTCTTCTCCTTCTTCTTCTTCTTCTTCTTCATCTTCTTCTAACCTTCTACATTCTCAGTTACTATGGGACAGAGATTGATGGTGAGATATCGATGACATCAGGACTGAGACTATTTCAGAGTAGGATGTTGGGAGGATTATTTGGAGATCTGTTACCAACGACACTTCAAAATTCTGTATCGTCGACATTCCGAGATTCTGTATCTGCGACATTTCGGATTGCTATTTCGGTGACTTATGTTGGCGCCATCTCCTCCGCCTCCTTTAAGTCTCTTCCTCCTACATTCATCCGTGCAATGCTGTGTACAGGCCCTGGTGCATCTTCTATGTTTGAGCGTCAGGCCTTCTCACCGATGCATATATGTGTGTGAGCCTGTCTGGAGTCCGAGTCAGATGTGAGTTCAGATCCATGTTTCCAAGTCTTCTGCTGCATTATATTGCTCTTTGTATTGGTCGGTTCTAGGTTTTGCATCATACTTGTGTTCACTTTCACTAGTATGCAACAGCCAAGCTCCAAGTCCTATATGTGGGACACGTGGTAGATCGAGATGGAGTGAGACCGGAGGACGCCAAGATAGAAGCAATTCGTGACAGGCCAACCCTGCACACTTTGACCGAGTTGTGGTCGTTCTTAGGACTAGCCAACTACTACTGGAAGCGCGTTTGTAACTTCACTTCCATTGCTGCTCCTTTTCGCAGGCTGCTGTGGAAGGAAACCGTCTGGAATTGTGACAAGGACTGTAGTCCGGCCTTCAAGAAGTTGAAGAAGTCCCTTATCGAGTACTCGGTAGCAGATCCATCCTTACCGTTTGTTGTGACTACCGATGCTAAGCCAATATGGCATTGACTCTGTTCTCCAACAGGATGATGGAGACGGGTACAGGCCGGTTGAGTTTATGTCTTGCAGGCTCCCTAGTGATAAGGTTGCAGCCTCGACTTATGAATGTGAGCTCTTCGCCCGTCGACAGGCTCTGGACCATTGGCGGCATTATGTACTAGGGTGACACATCAAGGTATATTCTGATCATGAAACTCTACGTTCATTGAAGACCCAGGCCCGGATGACTCCTAAGTTGACTAGGTGGGCTACGAAAATTGACGAGTTTGATTTTGAGTTGAAACCAGTCAAGGGTAAGTACAATGCCGTTGCTGATGCATTGAGTAGACGTTCCGATTTCCTTGGTGCAATTGTGACTTACCTAGATGTTGGCGCCGATCTGCAGCAAAAGATCAAGGCTGCATCTGCTGATGACCCTGTGTATAGTACGTTGATAAAGAAGGTACGGACCACACCTCAAGAAGTGCCTGATTTCAGAATGGCTGATGGATTGCTTTTTGAGACTTCTGATGTGCATGATAGGCTTTGCATACCGTGTAGCGAAGAGGTACGCAGTCTGATCCTAGGAGAATGACACAATATTGAAGGCCACTTTGGCTGGCGGAAGACCTATGTGAGCCCACTCAAATTCTGTACGTCGCCTGGCATGAAGCATGATTGCATCACCTACATCCAAGGCGGCCAAGTATGTCAAAGGAACAAGAGTTCCACGCAGCCTCTCCTTGGACTGTTGAAGCCCATGCCTATCCCATCCGCCCCCCGTGAATTTGTATTGATTTCATGGACACCAAGGTCAAGAGTAGTAGTGGGAAGAGTCAGGTAATGGTCACAGTTGACATGCTTAGTAAGTTTGTCGTTTTTGTACCACTACCTGCTGAAGCGAAGACAGATCTGGTCATCAAAGAGTTCTTCAACCACTAGGTCAAGGATTATGGTCACCTGTTGAGTATCTTTAGTGACCGAGACACCCGGTTCACAGGGGAATAATGGCAGCAGCTGATGAAGGTCCACGGATCTAAGTTAGCTATGTCATCTGGACGCCACCCTGAGACAAATGGCCAGACCAACCAGATGAATAAGATTCTACAAGAAGTACTGTGTTCGTACATTAACTGGACCAGGTAGATTTGGATGAACATCCTCCCAAAGTAGCTAGTGCGTATAATAACTCAGTTCACCTACCTACTTCGCGGACCCCGCACGAGCTGCATAGAGGCTGGATTCCCGGATGTCCCATTGACTGTTTCAATCCGGATTAGATCCAGGGACTGCCACCTGGCACATGCGAGTTTGCCATTCTGTATGAGAAGGATCCGCAACGTGTGGCTGAGAACATCTGGAAGGCCCAAGCATCACATGATGGAACAAGCGAACAAACACCGCCGTCCTTCACAGTTAGCGGTAGGTGATCTTGTCTGGGTCAAGTCTAAAGAGTTTATTCCCAAGGAAGGGATCTCACAGAAGTTGCTACCTGCCTACTGAGGGCCGTGGCAAGTACTAAATGTCAAAGGTGGTGCAGATGGACCGTCATACACCATCGAGATCCCGCCCCATCTCCACACCTATCCTGTTTTTCACGCTTCTAAGCTCCTTCCCTGTGTGACTAATGATCCATTTCCTCATGCAGATCCATTATTCCACCTGATATGAGCGGAAGGTATGATGTAGAGAAGATTGTGGCCGAAGATACTTTCCGTACAGGTTGTAGGGGGAGACCATAGAGACAGTATAAAGTTAGATTCGTTTATCAGGATCCCAGCGAAGATGGCTGGTTCACCACGGATGAGTTAGTTCAGACCGCCCCTCATATAGTGTCCTACTACAAGCGGGCACACAGAGGATTAAACATCTATGGTCGTCAAAGTTCTGATTTTCTCGGAGGACCCCGAAATTAGGCCGGCGGGAGTGAATGGATTCACACTGCAAGCTTTCCCAGTCCCGGTTACAGGGTCCTGAATTATCCCAGTCTAAGGTCCCGTAGATTAGAATCTTGGGGTCTGTAGGGTCAGGCGTAGCAGGCCGGTAGTCTACAGTACCGTACAGCACCTGTAGGAGCACGTCAAGCACCCAAAAGGCCAATTTTGCAGCAGCCTCACCAGAAAGTCGGGAACTTTCCCAAAATAGCAACGTGGCAAGGCAGAGGCCGAAGCAGGCCGGTACTGATTGAAGCAGGCACGCACAGCCCACTGCAACTATATATTTTGGGCTACAGAGCCGGAGGGAGTTGTTCATTTCGCAAATTTCTGGAAGCGCTGCTCGAGCTTGTGCAGACTAGCGACCTGGACGAAGAAGAACGCTGAAGGGAGGAACAAGACCAGCGCCCTGGCTGCGACAGATCACCATAGCCAGGAGGGAGGGGATGGAGTGTTTGGCGTCCATAGCCGCCCGTTTGCTGTGAGACACCGCAGAGGCATTCAGGGTAGATCTGGGACATTGTAGAGGGAGGAACAGTAGCGGGGAGCATTGAGGGATGAACTGCGCAGACAGATAGATAGATAGATAGATAGATAGATAGATAGAGAGAGAGAGATAGAGAGAAAGAGAGAGAGAGAGAGAGAGAGAGAGAGAGAGAGAGAGAGAGAGAGAGAGAGAGAGAGAGAGAGAGAGAGAGAGAGAGAGAGAGAGAGAGAGGGTAAGGAGCAAGAAGAGAGCAGATCGGAGAGGGGAGAAGTCGGGTACCTACCAGAGTCGAATTGCAGCGGTGCAGCGCAGTGGAACCTCGGATTGGCACTGTTCATGGCCATCGCTCAAGTTCGTGTGAGTGTTATCTGAATGCTCTCAATTTCATATTGTATTTTGAGTTGGATCTTGCGACTGTCATTTTTTTGGTTATAATTAAGATTAATCTGCTGTGCGACATTGTCTCAGCCGTGCGCTAAGTCACCCCTGAAGATGACCCGTCGTGGCCAACCGGTTGAAACACGTGTCGGGTCCCGTTGCCACAGTGCTTCAAAGATATGGCGCTATGCGCATTCTTTTTGACTCTTGGCTGGTGTTTTACGTAAAATTTTTGACCTTACTTGCATTTGGGGGTTACTCTCACTTCGTCTTGTCTCATCTCCCACTTCTCTTTCGTCTTTTACAGTGTGTTGCATGACATGCTTGCGTTGGATACTAACCATATCTGCTTCAGACCTGAGTTCGAGTTCGGATGGAACTAGATGAATGAAAATTATGAAATGTTTCAAATAAAATAATTCTGAATTACCTGGGGCCTTTCAGTTTGACAATGATATCTGAACGCTGTTGCCGTCTTCAACGAAAAGAAAAAGGGGGGGGCAGAACCCGGGCAGTTGCAATTCATTCTTGAAGTACTTCTTTTTGGCCGGTGCCTCCAGCCAAAGAGGTCTGGTAGACCTAGCCCCAGAGAAATCGTCGTTCTTAACCAAATGTGTTGGCCTCTGCTGTCAAGGAAAGGTACTAGTGGCTTATGGGCCCCTCACAGACATGCAAGTGTTCTGGGCCGTGGCCCCCAGCAAGGATCGTGCCCGCCCTAAGTGAAGGCGAGCCTGAATCTCCACGTGAAGCCCATTTTCGGCATTTTTCCAAATGTGGGGTATCAGACAGTTGCAGCACGCCAGTTGGTTACAAAGCAACGTGAGCTTATGTTGGCTGCTTACAGAAAGAACAGCTGTGCTGCACAGTTGAGCCCAGGGCCCTGGTTGGTTGCGCCCTGGGCACACACAGTGGGAGGCCGACACATCACGCAGTCCCCGCGGACAAATGAGAAAGCAGCATTGTCGTCACACAACCTCGGCGAGCCAATGAGAATGTGGCAAACACTTGGAGGCTGGACGGCCTTTGGAGGTGCCCAACTGAAAAGGGCCCAGGCCCGTAACAGCGGAGGTGGGCCTGGGCGCAGATACTGGGGCCCGACTGGAATCTACTGGAAACTTCCCAGGCCAGGCCCATGCAGCCAGACACAGGGTCGCACTTTCCATAAAGGAAAGTGCCTCGCCCAGCCAGGCTCATTCTGGACTTGGCAGGCAATGCGGACACGTTGCTGCGTTGCTGCGCTAGTGTCTGCATATGCGCTGCTGGTCGGACGCGCGCACGGGCGCTGAGGTGAGGGGCGCTGCTGAGGCAGCAGGCGCACTGCTCCCATAGCCAGGCTGCAGGGGCGCAGGCAGGTGATGGCGATGGTGGCCGTCGGGTAGGAGGCGCATGTAGAGGGGAACCAAGGGGTGATGAGGGGAGGAGAGAGAACGTACTTGGTGTATGCTGGTGGTCGGCATTGGTGTTGACATCACGTACATTGGTCTTCGACTTCAAAGTGATCCAGTTGCAAGAACGTAGATAGGCTAGATAGGCTGAGTAGGATCGGCTGGAAGCTGGGCGCCAGACAGTAAGTGCAACATTGGATACAGTATTGGTGTGACCAGAGAGTGGCGACATTGACATTCGAGTTCATTGTATTGCTCTTATTTGTAGGATATTTTGGTGCATTGTACTCTCTGCTTGGCACATGACTATATGGACTACTTCGTGATTTTGCAACTTGGTTTTCTTTCCATTGCTCTCGCTCATATTCCTTGCACCTTGTCTTTCTCTTTGTTTCTCCTGAACTGCAGGATCTACGTCTCCATCCACGGCTATTACGCTTTTGCAGAGCCTATCAGTTGGTGCGAAGGCAATGCAGAGTGTTGCCCTCGGTCTCTTGCCTGCTGAAATGCAAGATGTGCCATTCAGAGAATGTGGCGGCACTGAGCAGGCATTGGATGGAAGTCTGCTCCTCGCCGCTGGAGGACTAGATACGCATGTGCACGTGTATGAAGCATCCTTGCAAGACTTGCAGGTGATCAACCCTTGACCTGACATAGACCTGGAATAAACCTGGACCTGGAACGAACTTGAATCTGTGACCCTTCCCCAGACATAGACCTGGAATCAACCTGAACAAACTTGGACCTGGAGCAAACCTGAATCTGAAACAAACCTGGATCTGTGACCCTTGACCTGACATAGACCTGGAACAAACCTGGAACTGGAACAAACCTGGATCTGTGACAATATCATCGGCTAGGGGACCCTGCATACTGTAGAGGGTACGACCTTCTCCTCTTCACAGCTGCCATTGTCTCTCTCACAATCACTGCAATGCCAGGGTCTCTGCATCCATGTGTGCAGAGGGCTTTCTCGCATTTCCTGACTCCATGAAGTGCACCCTCCACATTCGGACATCATATGTTCATTTTGTGGCCAGCGACAGCGACATGGCATCCTTCCTAATGCACTCATTCTCGATCCTGCATCGAGGCTGTTAGCGATCCAGATACATTCTGCTGGCATTCCACACTGCTTACTTCCCCTTGGTCTTCCTTCCATCTTTCGTCCCTCTCCCTTTATCCCCTCTTCCTTTAATATGCCTCTCTTTCACAGCGTGCAAGTGGGTTGTCATGGCACACGGGAGAGTAATTGGTGGGCATGCTTAATGCCAGCCATCATGGCAATTGTTGTGCGAGAGTTCTTATCTACCTTCTTCACCCAAATACAACGCTCGGTCATTATTACTGTATTTTGGCCAACGTTCAGTCTAGACAGTGATTATGACCGGGCATTCTATTCGGGTGAAGACGCAGCTCAGCAAGGTCTTCCATGTCATCACCCCCCTCATGCCCACCGTTCATGTCCTCTATTCAATCGAGGACAGTTTGATCTGCGTCTTCTGTTATCCTTCCCTATGCTCTTATGCTTCCCGATGCGCTCATCTGCATTCCACATTCCTCACTTCCGCTATGTCACCCTTCGCTTTCTCATCTTTCCTCTCTATTTATCCCCTTTCCCTTTACTCTGCCTCTTTTCACAGCGTGCAAGTGGGCCATTATGGCAGATGGGGATGTAAGAAGCGCGTGCTCAACTACATAAACATGAGGAGCCTTGTGCATGAAAGGCACAGTAAAGTTCGAGCTCAAAGAAGAAATAAAAGAGAAACCGTGAAAGAACGCCAAATAAGGAAAGAAAAGAATGAACTGCACAGGAAATGGCAAAAGAACTGTCTCAGTGTGCTTCATGCTGTTTGCTATTTTTTTGGTTCTTTTCACAGAGTGCTTATTTTACTTGATATATATATCCATCTGGTGTGGGTGAGTGATAGCCTACTTTGATTTTCGTCACAGGTACCTTCAGGGTAGTGGTTGGTGCCCACCTCAGGGCATCAGTTGGCGGACAGTCGTTGATGGTTAACCACATCGGGGTTAAGGTGGATTATCACTTACAGTGTAATCAGTTAGGGGATTCTGCAGATTGTTGAGGGTTCAGCCTCATGATGAGTCGGTGAAACTCCGACAAAACAGTTTGTCACACCCCCTTGTTTGTTGTCCTCTTCTCCCTCTATGCCTACGGTTTACCGGGCAGCTTTGTTTGACGATATATCCACGACTTCGCTAGCACCCTGCTACGGTTTTCTCTAGTCAGGTCGAGCGGCAGTGGTCGGGGCCGTCACTGCGCGACCATGTTGTGCCTCTAGTGCCAGCGGCGTGTGTGGAGTGTATTTTTTGGTTGTGACTTTTCTTTGTTTCGTGGGTGGTTTGCTGGCTTGTGACGGGGTTTCAACCGACAGTCTGTAGAGTTTTCCATCTGGTCTGGGTGAGTGATAGTCTGCTTTGATTTTCATCACAGGTACCTTGAGGGCAGTGGTTGGTGCCCACCTCAGGGTATCAGCTTCCTCGTAAACCGTAGGCAGAGAGGGAGAAGAGGACAACAAACGAGGGGCTGTGACAAACTGTTTCGTCGGAGTTTCACCGACTCATCAGGAGGCTGAACCCTCAACAGTCTGCAGAATCCCCTAATTGATTACACTGTAAGTGATAATCCACCTTAACCTTGGTTGTGGTTAAGCATCAACGACTGCCTGACAACTGATACCCTGAGGTGGGCACCAACCACTGCCCTCAAGGTACATGTGATGAAAATCAAAGCAGACTATCACTCACCTAAACCAGATGGAAAACTCTACAGACTGTTGGTTCAAACCCCATCACAAGCCAGCAAAACACCCACGAAACATCGAAAGGTCACAACCAAAAAATGCACTCCACACACGATGGCACGCTTCGGAAACAAATTATCGGTATTCCAATGGGAACGAATGTTGGCCCAGAAATTTTCAATCTGACGTTGTATTGGGATGAAGCACGCTTTGTTGATGACATTCGTCAACATGATCTTCAAGCTGCTCAACAGTATGCCTTCACCTATCGCCTCATTGATGATGTTCTTTCATGGGGACAATTACCTCCTCCACCAGAGCACTATGGGCTTGAGTGGAAGGAAACTACAGCTACAGATGGCTCCTGTACCTTTTTAGGTATGCATCTACGGGTCTGTTCCGATGGCTCGCTTCGCATGAGCGTCTTTGATAAAGCGGCTGCTTGGGACTTCCTTGTCATTCGTTATCCAAGTGCGACCCCCAACATCCCTTCCCATCCACCGGCTGGTGTGTTACTGGGCAATTGCAGCCGCTGCCCAGAGTACACTCCCGACTCCAGGTACAGTCCCTGCTCAGGATGCAGCCCTTGCAGTTGACCCCACAAGGCGTAGACCACATGGGGGATCTGCAAATGGCTGACCAGCATTGTTCGGATGAACCACAATTTTGTGCTCCGCCACACGCAGACCACATGGGTGATCTGCAAACGACTGGCCAGCAAACAACCCAACACAGTTTGGGCTTGCAACACCATTTGGGTGATCGCAAATTGTTGGCCAGCATCCAACAAACCATCCTGAGAACCTCACCAATCTCTGTGGTCTGACAGCAACTAATATCTATCTTCACATTCTCCATCACCCGTTTTATACACCATAAGACTTCCTTGCAATCACCCTTCAGCTTGATGCTGATATTCCCTAACGACAGCCAAAGGATTGTAATTATACCAGCGAAGGAGGCCTTACCATTGCTGTCCTACAAGTAGCAATGAGGGGCCGTCAACTTGAACTACGCAATGCGTGAGCAGGTGAGTGGTTTAATCCTCCATCCCACATCTCTGCCTGCATTGTGCATGGCCCTGGCCATTACATGGCCATTATACATGTCTCTGACCACTGGGAACTATGGGACAACGGCACCATGGTCCATACCATGATTGATGTCACTGATTTCTTACAAAATGATGTTGTTTTCTTACCGCAACAAACCGTCCGCAGTCTCTTTTATGTCGAAGATCATTCCTCTGGCCCTGTTCTGCAGCAAGACAATGTACCAACACTCTGCAACCTTCTCCTTTGCACAACCACAAACACTGTTACACTCGGCTGTAGCCGCCATCGTCTCTGTCACAATCACTACAATGACATGGTTTCTGCATCCATGTGTGCAAAGGACTGTCCCACCGTTCCTGACTGCAGGCACCCTCCGCATTCGGACACTAAATGTCCATTTTGCGGCCATGGGCGCTATACTGAATGCATGCTCTTTTGTGGTGACTGTTCTTCTTTCATTCTGGCCTGCAATCGACATGCCATTTGTCGGGGGTGTATGGCGGGCATGCTCAATGCCACCCGTCGTGGCAATTGTTGCACTGTGAATGCTCAGCTAGGTCTTCCATGTGTTCATCCACGTCATCCTTACAATGTATGTCCTCTCTGTCGTCAAGAACAGACTCATTCTTGAGCCCTTTCTTATCTTTTTTTGCCTTCATCTTCACTCCACACTCTGTACTTTCCCTTACTTTCCCTTTATCGTTCTTTGTTTGTCTGCTCTCCATCTCTCCTCCCTGTGTTTATCCCCTCCCCCTTCACTCTGCCTCTTTCTCACAGCGAACAAGTGGGTTGTTATGGCACATGGGGATGGGGGCAGCTCGCGCTCAACTTCATCAACGTGGCGAGCCCTGTACGTGAGAGGCACGGTGAAAGGGGAGTCAAAAGAAGAATGAGAAAAATGAATGGTTTCACTGTCCCCTTCATGTTTGTCCTGTTTTTTTTTTTGTTTTTTTTTTTTGCCGTTTGTTTCGCAAAAATTGCGCTCTTTTAGTTCATAGTTATGTGACAACATATATACGATATATATATATATATGATGGGGTGTGAACCGACAGTCTGTAGAGTTTTCCATCTGGTGTGGGTGAGTGATAGTCTACTTTGATTTTGGTTAAGGTAGATTATCATTTACACTGTAATCAGTGAGGGGATTCTGCAGACTGTCGAGGGTTCAGCCTCCTGATGAATCGGTGAAACTCTGACGAAACAGTTTGTCACAGCCCCTCGTTTGTTGTCCTCTTCTCTCTCTCTGCCTACGGTTTACCGGGCAGTTCTGTTTGTGACGATATTTCTATTTGACGATTCACAGCCCCTCGTTTGTTGTCCTCTTCTCCCTCTCTGCCTACGGTTTACCGGGCAGTTCTATTTGACGATATATATATATGAGTCGGTGAAGCTTTGACGAAACAGTTGGTTGCAGCCCCTCGTTTGTTGTCCTCTTCTTCCTTTTCGCCAACGGTTTACTAGGCAGCTCTGTTTGACGATACAATATATTAGTCGGTGAAACTCCGACGAAACAGTTTGTCACAGCCCCTCGTTTGTTGTCCTCTTCTCTCTCTCTGCCTACGGTTTACCG